ATTGGTGCATTAAAGTAAAAAAAAAAAAAAAGTATTTTATTTTTAATGTTTGAAATTACAATATGTAAATAAATGTCAAAAACACTGATAATTTAGTAGCACTGTTAAATGTAAACTTTAGCAAAACTCAAAAATAAATATTCAATTTTTGTACTATGTTTTGATGCCTCACCCATTGGTGATTTATTTTAAAATGATTTATTTTAGTCTTTGGTGTTTTATTTTTTATTTATTTGATTATTTAGATGATGTTAGTGTAGAATTTTTACATAAATAATGATAGGCCTATTTTTATAAGCTTATATTTATAATTATAAATAATCATTGGCTTATTGTATTGGCCAGAAGTTCAATATTGGTGCATCAAAGTCAAAAAACTTTGATTTAAATTTTGGCATTTCAGTCAAATTCGAATGATATTTTTTCTCATTTAAATGATTTTGCCTTCATCAGATGCTCACTCAAAGTTGATTTTTGAAAATATTGATAATTTTATAACATTTTTAAATATAATCTTTAGCAAATCTCAAAAATAAATATTAATTTTTATACTATACTATGACCGGTATGTACTAGAGCCGAATCAGAATGCAGATTTCGGTGCCTCATTTTAGTGCCACTTAAATGCTTGAGCGATCGATTGAAATATTTGTTCTCTGGTTCTCCGAAACGGACGTAAGGATCACCGGCACCGCACGTAAAAAATAATTTCCAGACTGAGAAAATTCACGAACGCAAGTCGGAAAGCTCTAATAATACATATCCAGCACATCTTTGTAGTAACGCGAGTTAAGTTCTTTGCGAGGGCGCCCTCTGGCATCCAGTATGAATGAAACAGACATTAAATGTGTTTATAGCGCTCAATAATGGCCAATCATCCTATTTAGGGAATTTTTTTTTAAGTATCGGTTCAGGCACCGTTTAGGCACTGGTTCCGTTTTAAAAGTATCGATTTGGCACCGGTATCGTAAAAAACCCAAACGATACCCAACCCTATCTATGAGATTGTGATGTGTAAATTCAATTGTAGCATTTAAAATGACAAGTATGATATATATTATGTGATTGTTTAGACACAATAATATGGAATTTTATATAAATAATAATAGGCTTATTTTAATAAGCTTGTATTTATAATTATAAATAATAATGGGCTTATTGCATTGGCCAAAATTCAAGAAAAAATTTCAATATGATTTAAAAAAAATAAAATTTAAAATGATTTGACCAATAATATTGCTATATACAATATATATATAGAATTCTGTGTACATATTTATAATATATTCTAATATTAATGGAGCCGTAATCTTATAGCTCTGTATGATCAGCTATTGTCTCATTTGTGGCTACTATTTTTATGTAAATAAAGTCTCATCCTCTGAGTAATAAAAATTCTCTTTAAGAATTAATATGCTTCAAACTTGTGATTTCTTTCTTGTTGTTCTGTCTGTGCCTCAGGCTGCAGGTTGGAGAGGACACTGAAGCTTCTCTTGAGGATCTGAGCGATTGTTCCTCAGACTCTGTGGAAGTGTGCTGTGAGGATTTAGGTGAGTCTCTCCTAAAAATACTCCAATATTCATGACCGCAGGGTTTTCTCATACAGGACTGTAGATGGTAGTGAGAACAGATCTGAGACTGTTGTTAGTCTCTGATATCTTCACAGTACTTTTGTGTGAGGGATGCTATGATTCAGATCGATCAAACTATAAGCAGATGCTGGTGTGGTAAATTTTGATTGTATCCATGTGAGGAGATTCATGTCTTTGCTGATGTAAGTTTCCACCGTCTGAAGCTCTTTTCAGATTCTTGATGGACTCAGTCAGACCTCATGTAGACCTCAAATATTAGTGAAAACCTGTCAGCTCATGTTTGCCAGACATGCTAACGAACAGAGACCAATCCGCTGATTTGGGATTGTGTTTAGTACTTTGACAAAGTAGTGCAATAGTGTTTTTTGTGGAAAATAGTTTTCGAGAAATGTGTTTTAAGATGTTACATGCCTTGATAATGTGTGGAAAGATTTGCAATTTATAAAAGTAGCTGATGCGACAGTTGTGTTTGCATATTTAACAGTGATTTTGTTGCTTTTAGGCATATTATATATATATGCTAATATGTGTCAGAATCCAGTGCTGTTTCATGTAAGTGTCGGATCAGAGTGATATGTTACGTGATATATACTGTAAGTATATCACAGAACAGATTTTTTTAAACACCTTTTTCTTTAGACAGATGTGAAGTTGATTAGAGACTTTTGAGATCTCCTTATAATTCATCAGCATTATGAGTTTATCAGTAATATCTCAGTTATTTCTTTTAGACGTAATTGAGATTAAATATAGTTTTCAGATCTTTTTTTTTTTAAATATATTTTTAATATCTTACCCCCGGTTTCACAGGCAAGGCTTAAGCCTATAGTCCCAGACTAAAATGTAAGTCTTAGCTGTTTCAACTGAAAGAAACTTGCACTGACTGATCTTAAAATATATCAGTGAATTTGTTTTGTCTCAAGATGCACACCAGTAATATTTTTTTCTAAGCATGTTTATAAAAACTTACTTAAATGTCCTAATTGAACTATGGCCTAATCCTTGTTTAGTCTAAGCCCTGTCTGTGAAACCGGGCCTTAGTTGTTGTTCTTAGAGATAATTCAGATTAACTGGATAGGCTACTTATTTACTTTAAGATTAATAATTAATAATAAGATTAATTTGATCATTTATTGCGTATAAATTATCAGTGAGTTTTGAATTTTTTTAATTGATATCTTTTTAATGCTTGAAGATATTTAATATCTTTATACTTTATATTTTATATCTTTATACCTCAGTTGTTTAGGCCTAAATAAGATCTTTTTTAGTATCTCTCTCTCTCTTTTTTTTTTTTTTTACAGTATTTTAAATTTCTCAGTGATTATTCTTCAACATAATTGAGATTAAATATATACTTTTCTGATCTTTTTAATGCCGCTCTCTCTCTCTCTTTTTTGGATATTTTAATATCAGTTGTTTCTTTTAAAAATATTTTTCAGGTCTTTTTAATAGCGCTTTTTTGCACATTCAAATTTAATTTTAATATCTCCTCTTTTAATAGATATTGTTAATGAGTTTTAATCATTTTTCTTATAATTGAGATTAAATTAATACTTTTCAGATCTTTATATTATTAGAATTATTATTATTATTATTATCTTTAATATCTCTTTTTCTAGATGTTGGTAATATCTCGGTTGTCTGTTAGATATAATAAGGTTAAACGGATACTTTTCAGGTCTCATGTAATTTTATGAATATAATTTTTAATATATAATTTTTAGATGTTTTTAATAAATATTTTTAAATCTTTTTTTTTTAGACAGCTTTAATATCTCAATTGAGAACAAATAGAGACTTGTAATCTGCTTAGTGTCTCAAACTGTGCTTAGATTTGCCAAAAGTTAGCAAATGAAACCTCAGAAATCTCAGTACAAATGCAAACGTTTGATCTAGATCTAGTTGACCTGCTTTTTATTGATCTAACTAAAATGAAGGACTATTGAATCTTTTTGTGACAACAGTTCAGTCCACAGGAAGTATGTTCTTCTTTTAATGATGTCAATGGAAAAATCCCCCACAGAACGACACGGCCACTCGTGACGAGTTCAAACAAAAGACCTCATTCTTCTCAGCCTAGGAAGATCAGAATTACCCCAGATGCCCCGGGACTAGCATGTGTTTGGCCAAGTGTCGGGACCCCCTGCAGGAGCGCGCTGAGCTTTTGATTGAGTCATTGTACCAAACTGGTCAGTTGCATCAGGCTGGTTATGGGCGATTCGTTTAAGTCACTGCCAGGCTTCTGTCAGACTAACAAGTCTCGTTTGTGAAGTGATAAAGACAAACAGAAAGTGGATTTGTGGCGTGCTATTACCTTATTTACGGTGGAGAGACTCAGCCGTCTTAATGCGTGTTGTGATGTAGGTAGCAGCATTGCTATGGTGACGCTTCTCCAGCGAAGCATTGCGGAGAACTCCTTAGAGAGATGTGTATGGAATATCATGAGCGATGATGCTAGGGACCATCTAAAAACAACACTGCGGTTTTATGAAGTGGATGGGTTGGAGGTGTGACGGAAATCATCTGGACTTGATTGATTTATTATAGAAAATAGTTTATTCCCACACTGCAAAACAGTCCTATTCTTAATTTTTTGGCTTGTTTGTTATACGCATATTTGAAACAAGTTTAATTTACTTAAATCTATAACATATGCACTGTGCACTATGTGACTGTTTTGTCTTGATCCATTGGCTCATTTAAGGATACACTTTGAGGATAAACACCACTAAATGTATTTAAATTTAATTTCTGACTCTGAATTTATAATCTTGACCTTGAGATTTTTATTTTGAGGGGTTGCACAGGTAAAGTTTGCTGACAAATATATCTGGATCATTTGCAGATCCTATTGTGCTGAAAATGGGTCTTTTTTTTGTTTTTGTTTGTTTTAATCATTTTTTTTTGCATCAAGAAAATTTAGTGTGATTTATATGTCTTATTCTATTGCCAGATCCATCTTATTTTAACCAAAAAAATAATAATTTTTCTTTTCTTTATGCTGCAATTATTTTTTTAGCCATTTTTCTTTTGTATGTTGTGTTGGATTATTTGTAGAATGGAATAACTAAAATATTCTTAATGTTTAAACAAAATGATGATTATATTGCATTTTTGTATTATACTAAAAACAATGTACATTGCATTTGCGTTAATAGATTGCAAATAGATAGATGGATATGTTTTTGCCATTTTTGTGTTAGATTATTTGCAGAACTATAAAGCTAGTGTATACATTATTATATTATACCACTAAAGGCAATATAGATAGATAGATAGATAGATAGATAGATAGATAATGTACAGTATGACATTTGTGTATTGGTAAATTGTCCCATGCATATGCAATGCATTTGAGAGAGGGAGGGGGGGAGAGGGGAGGGAGGACTGTTGTTGTGTGCAGCACTGCTGTCATTTGGCTGCTGCACGGCTCAGCGGCAAGACGGCCTGGTGAAGGGAGGAGAGAAAACGAGGGAGTGAGAGAAAGAGGAGAGAGAAAAGGAGAACCAGGGCGGCAGCTGCTGCAGCCTGACAGGAAGGAACGGAAAAAAATAAAGGGTGCACGGAATTAGCATTTTCTTCCCGTGCAAGAGAGAAAGAGCCGCACATTCATCCTCTCCTCCATGCTCTCACTCTTCTCTCATCCGGCCCTAAATGCTCTCCGGTAGAGGAAGACGCTTGGGGGTCGAATAAAAGACAGGCAGAGCAAGGGGACGTCAAGGGAAGGTGCAGGCATGGCTGCCAAGAGGGGCAAGTCCGGCGTGCCACAAAGCGTGCCACGGAGCGAGCTGAAGGTGTACCGTGTGGGCAGCACGGAGGGGCGCATCCCGGTGCCATCCAACCTTCGCAAACAGAGGTCCCTGACCAACCTGGCCGTGCTGACAGATGCCGAGAAGAAGATGCAACTCTATGAGCCCAAATGGTGCGACGACATGAGCAAAGCTGCCTTGGGACACCTGAAGATGGGCAAGCCCAAACCGGCGGCCGGCGGAGGGGCGGGGGGCTCCCAACTCTCTCGAAACCTGTCCAAATCTGACCACTCCCTCTTCCAGGGCAAACCCAAGATGTTCACCCCGCTCGCAGCACCTGGCGCCTTGGAAAAAGGCCAAAGTCGGATCCCTCGAGGCCCTTACGCGGAAGTAAAACCTTTGAGCAAGACGTCCGATGACTGCAAGTCCGACGACGATATCCTGTCCAGCAAAGCCAAAGCCAGCGGGAAGAAACCGGTGGCTGGGAGCTCCAGAGACCCAGAGGCTAAAGGTCAAGGTGAGGAAGGTGGCGATAAACCCTTCCTCAAGGTGGACCCAGAGCTGGTGGTCACTGTTCTTGGTGACCTGGAGCAGTTGCTCTTCAGTCAGATACTCGGTGAGTACAGTTTTTCCACTTTCACGCCCACTTACTACCAGCTGCAGTTGGCTGCTGAATGCCATGGATTGACTGGAAAATATCCAACCGAGTGCATGCTGTCGTGATTCTAAAGGTGGTCTCGGACAGCTGGACAATGCAGGGCTTTGTTCTGGGTAGCATGTGCATTGTTGTGCATCCGCCGTCTCTCGCACTTGTGGGCTAGAAATTGCGCTCAGATTATTCCCCTTGGCGTGTGTCCGATGATTGAATGACAGAATGCTCGGGGGCGTTGCTGATCTGCTTTTCGACGCCTGTCTGGTGCCGTGTGCTGGTGTTGCCGCTCTGCTCTCATCTGTAATGAGGTAATGGCTGCTATATCAGGGACACAGGTGGTACGAGAAAAGGAAGAGGCCGTGGAATACATAAAGGGAGCATAATTAATTCAGTTTGTAGTTTGTCATCAGCCTCCTTTGACTGCTGATGAATGTTGTTGTTGAACACATGAACAAAAGCATGCATGATC